TCCCAGTATGGGTGAGACCTGTGTGCACCCTCCTAGAGCGGAGTCTCCAGTTCCCCCAGTCCTGTGGAGCTCCTGCAATCAAGCCCTGCTGGCAATCAAAGCCAAATACTTTGGGGGCTCCTCCCCCCAATGCCAGACCCCATGCTGGGGAGCCTGACATGGGGCTCAGAACTTTCACTCCTGTGGGAGAACTTCTGTGATATAATTATTCTCCAGTTTGTGGATCGCTTATCCAGGAGGTATGGGATTTGATTATAATGCACGTTCACCCCTCCTACTGTTTTGTGGTTTCTTCTTTACATCCTTGGATGTAGAATATCTTTTTTGGCAGGTTCCAGTCTTTTTTATCAATGGCTGTTCAGCAGTTAGTTGTGTTTCTGGTGTGCTCAAGAGAGGAGGTGAGCCCAAGGTCCTTCTACTTTGCCATCTTTTTCATCATCTGTTTATTTCAGCGTTCTGATGTTGGGTGCATGTATATTTGGTTGTTGTATCTTCTTGATGTATTATTGTCCCTTTTATCATTATATAATGATCTTTGTTTCTTGTTACCACTTTTGGCTTAAAGTGTGTTTTGTCTGACATAAGTGTGGCTGCTTACTTTCTCTTGGTTTCCATTTACATGAACTATCCTCTTCCATCCTTTCACTTTGAGCCTTTGTGTGTCTTCAGGGCTGAAATGAGTCTCCTTAGGCAGCATATTGTTGGGTCTTGTTTTTTTTTATCCACCCAGCCACTCTCTGCCTTTCAACTGGTGAATTCAGTCCATTTACATTTAGAGTGATTATGTAAGGACTTATCATTTGCCTTCTGGTTGTTTACTATCTCCCTTGGTTTTTTTCCTCTGCTTCTGCATACCTTAGCAAATTGGTGGTTTTCACTGGTGATTTGCTCAGTCTCCCCCCACCTTTTTTTTTAATGTTTTATGACTCTATAATAGATTTTTGCTTTGTGGTTACCAGAAACAGAAAAGATCTTATAGATAAAACAGTCCTTTTTATTCTGATAGCAGCTTATCTTTGTTTACCTATAGAGGTTCCACTCTTTTATTCTTCCCCTATTATATTTTTGATGTCACAGTTTACTTTTTTATGCCATAAATTCATTAATGTTATAGTAGCTATAGTTATTTTTGTTTTATATAAACTTCATACTATAAGTGGTTAACAAACCATTCTAACGTAAAGTTACAGTTTTCTCATTCTAATTTTCACCTTTACCAGAGTATTTATGTACTTCTATATGTTTTTGTGTGACTAACTGGCATCTTTTCATTTCAGCTTGAAGAACTCTTTTAGCATTTCTTGCAAGGCAAGTCTATTTATGAACTCCCTCAGTTTTCATTTGGGAAAGTTTTTATTTCTCCTCATAACTGAAGGATAGCTTTGCTGTATATTTTTGGTTGGCAATTTTTATCCTTCAACACTGAATATGTCATTCCTCTCTCTTCTGGCCTGTAGAGTTTATGCAGAGAAGTCCACTGATAGCTTATTTGGGGGTTCCTTTGTAGGTTACTTTTTTCCCCGGTTGCTTTTAAGATATTTTTTTTAATTAAATGATGCTTTTACATCTTTATTTGCTCCATTCTTTTTAATTGCCTTATTCGTCTCTTTTCTTTCTTTTTTTTTTAAATTGGGGTATAGTTGTTTTACAGTGTTGTGTCAGTTTCTACTATACAGTGAAGTGGAGTTCTCTGTGCTATACAGCAGGTTCTTATTAGTTATCTATTTTATACATATTAATGTATATATGTCCAATCCCAATCTCCCCATTCATCCCACCCCCCCCACCCTAAGATTCTTTATCATTTATTTTTGACAGTTTCATTAGACTGTGTCTTGGAGACAGTCTTTTTGCAGTGGGATAAGAGAGTGTTTTATTAGCTTCGTGGACCTGTATGTCCAATTCCTTCCCCAAGTTTGGGAAGTTCTCAGCTATTATTTCTTTAAATAAACTCTACCCCCTTCCCTCTCTCTTCTCTTTCAAATACAATTCATCTTGTATTTGCTTTTCTGATAGAATCTGATAGCTCTCAGAGTTTCTTCACTTTCTAAAAATCTTAGTTCTCTCTAACTGAATCATTTCTAAACTCCTATCCTTCAAGTCACTTATTCCTTCTTCCAACAGATCTATTACTTATGCTTGCTAATGCATTCTTCATCTCATTCACTGAATTCTTCTGCTATAGAATTTGATTCTTTTACAAAATTTCAGTCTCTTTGATAAAGAACTTATGGTCATTAAATTCATTCCTGCGTTCATTTATAGCATGTTGAATTTCTTCATAATAACTATTTTGCATTCTTTATCAGTTAGATCACAATATTTTATGCCTTTGAGTTCAGTTGCTGGAGAATTACCATTTTCTTTTTGTGATACCATATTTGCTTGATTTTTCATAGTGTTTGAGGTTATGCACCTCTCCTTTTGCTTTTGAAATTGCAGACACTTTTCTTAGTGAAGGATTTGTTTACTTTGGCTGTTACAGGTCAGCAGGCTGGCATTTAAACATCTTCTTTTGTGTTCCAGAAGATGATGCTATAGCTCAAGTTTTTGATTTTTTCTTACCAGGGTTAGTTCTCAAGGCTGCACTCAGGAGTGCACAAAAAAAGCTGGGAAGTGTGGGCTTAGCACTTGGGGCTTTGGGGGGTGCCCATGACCTGACAGGGAGATCCACAAGTGGGATACTCTCAGAGATCCATGAGTGGACCTCTAAATGAAACCCCAAAGCAGACAGCAGGAAACACATTATTTCAATGCCCTTTGACATTCTTGTCTGCTTCCTTCCCCTTCCTCTCCTACCTTCCAGTCACAGAAATCCCTCCTCAGAAATGCAAGTGCTGCTGGAGACAAACAGGTACCTCCAGCTACTACCCATGCAGCCAGGCAGTCTGTCACTCACCATTTTTGCTTTCCACTTCCTCTGGCAAAGAGGCAGACACTAACCCCAACAAGAGTGTAGAGCACTGCAGTGTCACCCTGGGGGAAACAGGTGCCTCAGTGGATTCGTTTCTCTCCTCTGCCTTCAAACGCATCTCTATCCAGCTCTGATGGTGTCCTGGGATCTCCTGTCAGGTTGGCTGGACCTCCACAAATTCTCCATCTCCCATGAGCATCCACTCAGTTTTGTACTCTCCAGATTCCCCTTTTCCTGATCATGGCAAGTGGGGGTGGGGCAGGCGCACTGACTCTCTTGTATCCACAGCCCCCTCTGAGGTCCTCTCCACATACTTTCAGATGCAGAGGAGCATAGTAATCACCTGCTGTCCTGGTATAATGTGCAGAGGCACTTTTGTTCAGTTATGGACGTGTAATTAGTTATACACCAAAGAGGAGAGAAAAAAGGAATAACTCATGCTGCCATGGTCCTGACATCACTCCAGAGAAGTCAGTGTTCTGCTTCTTGATCTAGGTGCTGCTTCCATGGGTACAACCAATGTATAAAAATTTATAAGGGACTTCCCTGGTGGTGCGGTGGTTAAGAATCTGCCTGCCAATGCAGGGGACATGGGTTCGAGCCCTGGTCCAGGAAGATCGCACATGCCGCAGAGCAACTAAGCCTGTGTGCCACAACTACTGGGCCTGCACTCTAGAGCCCATGAGCCACAACTACTGAGCCTGTGCACCACAACAACTACTGAAGCCTGCACGCCTAGAGCCCATGCTCTGCAACAAGAGAAGCCACCGCAATGAGAAGCCTTTGCACCGTAATGAAGAGTAGCTCCTGCTACCCGCAACTAGAGAAAGCCTGTGCGCAGCAACGAAGACCCAATGTAGCCATAAATAAATAAATAAATAAATTTATAAAAAGAATTTTTTTATAAAAATGTATCAAGCTGTACAATTTTATATATGTATATAATACTTCAACAAACTTTAAATGTGACTCCACTCCACTTTTGGTGGGTATATAGCCAAAATAATTGAAAGGAAGGACAAAGAGAAATCTATACACCCAAGTTCATGGCAGCATTACTCACAATAGCCAAAAAGGGGAAGCAACCCAAGTGTCCATCAGCAGATGAACGGATAAACAGAATGTTGTATACACATACAGTGGAGTATTATCAACTATAAAAAGGAAGTAAATTCTGATATATGCTATAACAAAGATGAACCTTGAGGACATTATGCTACGTGAAATAAGACAGTCTCACAAAAGGACAAATATGAGTGATTCCACTCCTATGAGGTACTTAGAGTAGACAAACTAAAAGGCCTAGAATGATGGTTGCCAGGGATTGAAAATAGTGAGAAATGAAGAGCTATTGTTTGATAGAGTTTCAGTTTTGCAAGATGAAAAGAGTTCTGTGGATGGATGGTGGCAATGGCAGCGTAACAGTGTGAATGTACTTGATACCACTGAACTGTATACCTAAAAATGGGTAAGATGGTAAAATTTATGTGCATTTTACCACAATTTTTTAAAAGTTAAATGTGACTTTAATATATACCCTAATATATATTAGTAAATATACTAATGAAGTTATTAACTTACCTCTGGTGAAAATTCCAGAATTTTAACACCTCTACTCTTGCTGAGATACTTGAAACTCTACATTTTCAATCCCGTTGAACACTTCAAGAAGTGAAAAAAGCCAACAGTGGACTCTCCCAAAGCAGCAAGGTGAGATGCATAAGACCACTTCCCTCTCACACAGGACCTTATACTAAACAAAATGCTTTGACCTCCTTCCTCCACTTATACTAACAAATCCCTTGTGAAGGAGGCAGCTCAGACAAGTCTGTTACCCTCACTTCAAAGCTGGGGAAACTGAACAAGAAAAAAATAAAATCACAGCCACCCCCCCCCCCAAAAAAAACCCAAAATCTAAATTTTCTGATACCAAATTCAAACTGGAAGACATCCCCCTAGAACCCTCAGGCTCATTAATAGACTTAAAAAGCAAATTCGACTTACAAGTTAATTTTGTGCTTCTATTGTTCCCACAAGAAAATGCTTTATAATATGTAGATCTTTTTTACATGTTGAAAAAATACACTTTGACTTGAAAACATTTTATTTAATTTATACAAATAACTACTAAATACAAAAAGTAGATTAAAACAAAATAGTTATTTTTTTCTGGCAGAGTTTAAATGCACATAATGGATAATTCTGAAGAAAATGCATTTTCCCCACAGCGTTCAGGACTAAAATTCTACTGAAATCTTTGCTTCTAAATCAGTAATATATTCGGTGGTGTCACATGGGTAATGGCTAAATACGTTCTGCATATGAACTGAAAAAAAAAGTTACAGTCTACACACATAAATGTGAAGCACTTAAAATGTGAATTTAACGGATAATAAAAGAAAATGTCCATTTCAGAGTATAGTGTTAAAAACATTTCAGTAATAAAATCATAAGACCACATAAAAATAAGCTTTAACATATGCATGAAGCAGTTTTGTAAAAACTGCTACTGCACAAGTAATAAATAATTTGCAAAGTTGTGTATAAACAATTCCTAATGTTCAGCGTCATTGTAAACATCAGCACATGTGTAAAATGCAGCAAAGTCTGACATTATATTTTGTTTTGCCAAATTGAATTCCTATTATCCAAAGACAGACCAGTGGAGTACGGAGCCAATGTTTCCGCAAGTTGGGTCTTTAAAATTAAGAGTAACAGTGCAAGTAAGGAATGCAAAGAATTCCTAGTGCAATAAAGAAGAGAAGCACAGGCAATATTGCTGATTAAAAATTCACCACCTCCTTGAGTTTCCCGTGGGGAGTGTCTAGGAGACCTGTGAAGATATGCAAAGCCACTGTCTTAATGCCCAGATCTCTTTTAGGATTTCTCTGTGTTCCTCCAGTTCCCTACCTTTGCAACAGTGTCTGTCCAACATGAGTCTCTGCAGCGTGAACAGTTTGTGAAATGCCCAGTTCACAGTCATTGAGCGAGGTTAGGGTGGTTTTGGTGTCTCCCCAGCACACAGCCGGGTAAGATGTCGGCCTTGTCAAAGCAGTCATTTGGGGAGGGAGACAGATGGATTCTGTTCTGACAACCAGTCAGGTCAGCATTAGGTCCCAGCTGGACGACGTCAGACCTTCCTTCTTGACACCGTGAAAATGTCAACAGTCAGTTTTCAATTTGTCTAGGGAATTATCAATTTTGGTCAAAGTCTTTTTGATACGCAGGGCTGTGAGTCTGGCAGATGGATTTTGATACCAGCATTCTTTCATCAGCTTGGCCAGGGAGGTTAATGTCTGAGGAGAGAAAGAACCAATACCACAGTGAAAAAGTAGCTGGGCAGATGTTACGTCAACTGTTTCGCAGGGCTCTACAGGTCTTGTGAAGTTCAAGTGATGTTATTACCATTTTCCTTACACAAATAATCAAGGCCTTAGCCACTGATAAACCACGCTTGAGTTTCTTAAACTCTGCCCTTTGGACTCCTAATGCTACCAACTGACCATCAAGTCAGTTACACAACACAGGTTGATGGTTTGATGGCGCTAAAAGCCATAACAGTAACCCAGAGTTAAAACTGAAATATGCAAATAGGGTCATTTCTCAATGCCTTAGATTTGCTACTTACTACTTAACAGCAGCAATAAGGATTGTCAGCATTAAACAGCCTATGTTTGGAAGAGATGCAGAGATAGAAAAGAGGTTAAAAAGCATCACTCAGGTCTCTTGGTTTACATGTGAAATTGCAGTCCTAGGGCCAGTGGCATAGTAATGCGTCTCCCAATTCCTGGAGCTAATCAAGGGTAGAAAATCTTGTGAATGTTGTCATTCATTGGCAAGATCTATCAGAAATGGCTCTTTCAAGAATGAGACCATTTTGTGAACCTGCTCAACTAGGTCTAAAGCTCTTCTACATAAAATAGGGAGAGAAAGAAACAGGGCAGATCACTCAAGAACTCTACCAGCTGAAAAATCAAGAGAATGCAAATAGCAAACAGCTAAGTATAGCTCTAAAACTAAGAAAGCATTGCTCTTACCGGGTCTGAGAACCATCTGTTGGGTATGTTGGGCCTCTGTTGATCTACACAGACCACCTTCCTCATATCTTCAAAACTTGGGTCATTGGGAACCACATCATAGAACGGTGGCTTGTAATCCTCCACAATACCTACACACATGGACAAGAATTGTGTTGGGTTAGCAAAAGAGTAGAGGTTCCCAGGGTTGTACTGAGGGTTGCCGCAGGTTACAGCGTTGACAGAAAAAGTACTGATCACCTTCCTCAAACTTCAGGGTGATTCTGAAAGGTACAGGTAGGTCTTAAAATAAGTGGAAAACAAAGCAATAAATAGAAACCCTGCAGAGAACTGGAGGAACAATAATTGTTAGAAGAAAACGTGACTACCTCTCATGTAATTATAACAAAACGCTCCAAGAGTGCATACAAACAGCTCTGCGGTGCCCAACAGGGCACAGGAGACAGAACAAGAGTCCCTTCAGTGATGAAAAAGGACAAAATACCTAAAGAAGGTACACGAATCTAGTGTTTTCAAACCATAAACTGAAATAAAAAGTTAGCCACAACTAGAGCTGGAGGCAAACAAACAATCCAAGGCCATCATCAAAATACCCCTTTTTTTATGATTAGGGGTAAATGCATTGCTATAAAATAATCCCTCCAACCGGGAGGATGCAAGTAATGTAATATGAAATACTATTTCCTCACTCATTCATTCTGTATGTTCTGAGTACCCTCTGTCATTCACAGCTGTCTGTTTGATGGCTCTATTAATTCCTCTCAGATCAAAGGCACAAAATAAAATGCAGAGGACAGTCTTTTGGAAAGGCAGAAGAATGGCTGAAAAGAATGAACTTTTCCCTTACTCCCAAGCAAATGTGAAAGTCGCTAATTTCAGCTTCTGCCCCTGCATGGTTTCCAATGCCTTAGAAACCTTTTTTCCCAGTAAAATTACATCAGTTCCTTACTTTTCACAAAGAAAGTAGTTCCACAAAGAGAAAAATTTAAAGCAATAATTTAGAATTAGAAAGTTGATTCTTTCCTTTATAGAAATGAGACCCAGAAAATCCCTTATTTTTCTCTCATCATCAAAGGCCTCAACAGTGAGGACAGTGGATTAGTTTACTGCCCTCTCTCCTTCCTCCATGTAACTTTCTTCTGTTCCTAAATACCTACCAGAGTGATTGTTGGCACAGGTGGGAGGAGGCTGTTTTAATAATTTTTAAGTTTTTCTAGCTCCTGTAAGCTACCTGAAAAGCTTCAATCGCCTTTTCATTTATCAAAGAAATTAACAGTGAGAAGTTGCTCTCACAAATCCCACATAAAGACAAACCATTTATGAAAAAGATTAGTCATGATAAGGAACATCTGTTAAATACTAGAGTTTTGTTAAACTACATAGATTCAAGAGTTTATTTTAAAAATGGAATGTAGTCTAAATTTAAAAATTCTAGTTGATATTAAGACTTACCATTAACTTACCCACATTGCTTGACTGTGTTTGTAATGTGTATTAGTCAGTGGAGTAAAACCTTTCCTGACAAATGGTAAACAGTTCAGATTGGGCATAAACCACTGCTTTCAGAAGTCTTGAGATACCTCATCTCAGAGACCTCACCTACTTCTCTTGTAAGGACCCCAGGAAGCATTCAACAATATTTTAATTCTTTTCAGTACCTGTATTACTAGGAGACATCACATAAAATACAGCTGGACACAGACCAGCAAGATAATTTATACCCTTATAATGGCCACATGAACTTATAAGAAACAGTAGGATTGTGCCCGTCACCACCTCTCAACTTTTCTGAAGGAGAATATATTTAATAGCCTGGCTTCAGTCTTTAAAAATCTAGCATAACAGCCAGCTATTTCAAGTAATTTGCCTGGCTAGCTTGGGAAGGGTTATGGGAACATCAATTTTTCTATAAATGCAAAAGAAAAAAAGCATGGCTGGATTTTTAAAACATAGGATCTGGGGATACTCAACAATAAAATTCACTATACAAAGATGAAGTTTTCCCTTGGGTTTATATTTCCCATATTTTAATCTTATGAAATACTGCCATGTTTTAACAAAAGGAATCAAGTTTAAAAAGACCATTTAGTTGATCATGCCTGGAACTTAGTCATGCCTTTTTTGTCAACCATTGGTCAAATTGTTGACTGTTTCCATCTGATGTTGGTCGTGCTTTCCCAGCATAAAATAAACCTGGTATTAAACTCCAGCAGTTATATGGAACACCCTTTGGTCAAGGAAAGCAATTATTTCAATCAATATAAAGTATATTACATACTGACCATGTGTGGAACACCATTCTAAATGTTGAGGATATAAAAGTATAAGACATACTCTCAGTTTTCAAGGAACTCAAAGTCTAGTGGAAGATGAGAACAGGTCCCTCTCTTTTCTACTTTAGATAATGGAAATCTTGTTTAAAAAAAAAAACAAAACCTCAAAAATGTTTTTCACCCCTTTGTATACTTTATATCTTGAAAGGCAAAGATAGATTGGAAATTCTCACTAAGTTTTACTTGCGAGTTCCTAAATTGGCTCAAAAACCATTTTGGTCCCTTAAACTGTATGAGCCAGAGGTTGTCCTTGGCACTAGGGATATAAAAATAAAGATGTGATGTTGGTGATGAGACTAATGGGAAAGGAAGACACGAAAAAAAATTACAAAGTAGGACCAGGGAGAAGAGGTGGGGGGGGGGGGGCATGGTGTTCAATGGGTTTCAGAGAACTAAACACCTGTGTGGTTTAAATACCAGATATAAACCAGGTGCCATGGAAGCACAAGTAAGCTTTCTGGGAGCTAGGGCCTGGCTGAACATAGAAAGATGAGTTTTCAAGAAAGAGGAGAGGATGGGACAAGAATACGCCAAGGAGAGGGGGCAATCCAGGTTGGGGGCCGGTGATATGGGACAAAGACAAGGGGTTACAAATGATCCTCCCGTGTTGGAGAGGAGGGAAATTCCCTGTAGCTGAAATCAGTGCACACGGTGGTGGAGAGGGTGAGCGGTCAGGGTCGGACTGTGAAATTACCTGTGTTGTCAAGGTAGGAAGTTACTTACAACTGTTCCTCACTCTGCCAGAGAAAAAGTGGACTCTCAGTCCTTTTACAACAGCACCCAACAACTGCCAAATCGTGAGCCAGCGAACAGAACAGCGTGAATTCAGGAAAAGCGCCTAAAAATACAAAGGACTTCGAGTGCCAAAGGAGTGGTACAAGCAACAGAGGATCCAGGAATGCAGTGGAAGAGGAGCTCTTAAACAGTGGTCAGGAAGGACGAACCGTGCCAGCCCTCGCTTTTCCACGGTAGGGGCTGCGACTCGAAGGGCCGCGGAAAGAATCAGAGAAACTATTCATAACCTCCTCCCCACAGCTTTGGGCATGTATATCTGATTTATACAATTTTTTTTTTCCTGGACATGTGTCTAACTGAAAGTTTTCTCTTCTCTGGGGCAAATATATCTTTACCAACAATATCCCTATCATTAATTTGCTGCATGATTCTGAGTAAACCCCTTAATTGCCTGGCCTTAGTTCCAACACCTTTAAAGTACACATCACAAAGCGAATGTGCAGATTAATAAGAACAACCTAGAAACAACCTTCAAACCCCATGAAATGCCAGAGGGTTCTTTCTAAAAATGCAAGTCTCTGGAAACAAGGCCTTCCTCATGACCCTCCCTACCCAAACCAATAGCTTTGGGCTCTCAAAGCTTTGGGGATTTCTCAATTGCAGATAAGGGGCTGTGCATTTGGCCATCATTTGAATAATCTGAAGGTGAGGCAAAGACAGATGCAGGGGATGTCAGAATCATGCAGATCACAGCCTGCCTTTCCTTCAGAAAAAGCAGCTGAGGACCACCCAGGGGAAACGTACTTGTCCAAGTCCACAGCTACCTAATGACAAACATTAACCTGAATCCAATTCCCTGTTTGTATTCTAGAATTCTTCCCAACAAGCCCACAATGGGATAATGCATTGATCTCGTCACAAGGGCCTGCTCACTTCATGTCCGCGGTCTCTCTTCACTGCACTGCAGCTTGGGTGGACACCCAGGTAACAGGCAAGGGGGGCAGGATCCCCAGCATCCGCATCCCTGCAGAGAGCTGCTGTTAACAGTGAACTCCTACAGGAACTATGAAGCCCTTCAGAGACTGGAACATTACGACTAAAGCCATTTTACAGAGAATGAGAGTGGTTCATGTTGGGCTTCTGATAGTACTCTAAGTTAATACAGTGTTTCCGTCAGGGGTGGCCTGTGAGAAAATTAGATATGGTTCAAGGACAAAACTTTTTTGTCTTATTAAATAACTGCGTATGTATTATTAACGTTACCTTCCATTTAATGCCATGGGATAACTGGTTTTCCCACTTCCAGTAGTGACATTAATTTCCTTTTAAAAAGAAATGTTTGAAAAAGTTAGCTGACTTAAATGATTAAGAAAATAATGGTACAAGGGGCATTTGGATATGAAAAGAAATCATAAAGGTAGTACGTGTATGAGAGAATCTTGGGAAACACTGTTTTCAGAGAGGCATTTTTTTCCTGGTAGGAAGAGGATTCAAAAAGGTATATCAACTATTTGTGTCTCTTTGCTTAACATTCCTCACAGAAGGATTTCAAGCACAGTTTTCAAGCCATGGCCAACATCAAAAACGACTAATATATAAACGGATGGAGCTGTTCACAGCAGAGGGGACGACAGCCCAGGAGGTTCTGGTGGCCCTTGGTGCTGCCTTGCTGCTGGAGGTTTCAGAGAACCAGTACCTCAGGCACTCCTGTAACCAACCAGGCGCACTAGCTGGGAAGCCCTGCCTCTCCCCAAGGCAGGTACTCCTTTCAGAAACAGGAACAGAGCTGGCAGGACAGCTCTGTTCCCTGCTAAGTGAAGTATCTGTGTGGCAGTGATGACCTCATCCTGCTATCCCCCCTACAATTCATGGGCATATGGAACCATGCACATTATTCAAATCAAGACTAAACGCATTATCTGAAATCTGTTAAAAGTAATTTCTGTTACTGGGATTCTCAGCAGTGTGGCATAGCCAAAATAAATGGTTCACAGATTGCTTCACAGGCCCTACTAAAAATATTTATGAATGTGACAGTTGTCAGAAAGGTCAAAGGGCCTAGGTCAAAGGGCCTAGGAGAGATGCACAGCCATGCTCTGAGTTAAGCTTTGACAAGACGCCTTACATCTCACACACCCTCAGACCTAGAGGGAGAAGCTCCAGAAGACTTCCAAGCGTTTGCTATCTGTAGAGGTCTCATGAGAAGAAGAAGGTATCATTCACCGGATGCTGGGGCTGTTCCAAGGTTGACACCACAGATACTTGTCCTGGTGGGGACACCTGCTGTTAAAGATGTGTCAGGGAAGAGAGACCAGTAAGCAGTGAACAATACCCAGTAAAGTTCTGCTGGCCTCTGGTTATTTTGTCGTGACGTCAGTTGACTGCCCTCCTTTGGTCTAGATCTTTAAACCAGGGACACGAAATTCCAGGAATCAGTGAGAGAAAAATCCCACCTCCATATTCCTGCCCCCAACCACTCACCTAAAAGCTCAAATGAAATAAAACAAACCTGAAAGAAATTGCTTGAATGAATACTAAAAATTTTCCCTAATATGAGTCTTCCCTTTGTTCAAACCTTAATATACACTAAGGTAGTGAAATGAAATCGTGAAACACACTGGATATTAAGTTGCTGAAGAAAATCAGAGTTGTCATGGTTTCCATATACAAGCCCATTGTGCTCAGGAACTTGAAGCACACGCCATTCCTTATTTAGCAAGCCCAAGGGCTTCTTAGAAGAGGTTTTCCAAAGTATGTGCGCCAAACGTAAGCTTATTCTAACAAGTATTCCCTAGTCCCCACCTCATTAAGAGATGCAGCTCAGCCAGCAGGGTTTTTTCAACGAGATACAAGTGCTTTTTGACACATTTCAACACTGGATTCCATCACAAAATGGAATAACCAAAGCCAGTCACTGAAACAAAAATATGTCCACATAGCCCTCCTGTGGGCAGCGAAGAGGAGACACGTGAAGGGTATAGCAGAGGCTCATGGTGCCTGCATGATGCCACAGTCAAAGATGTGCTACAGGAGGATCAGGGAAGATCATTTTAGTTAGCTTTTAAATCCATGAGCAGCTGTGGCCACAGTATTAGTGCAAAACAACTCTGGCGTTTCTGCATACAGGGATCCAACCAAGGTGTGACACCGAAGGCTGAGGTTCCAGAGAGAGGACTTCTAATCTCAAGAGGGAACTGCTGCAGGATGCTTGGATGGGGCTACTAGAAGTTTCTGATCAGACCAAAGCTAAATGGCACACGTGAAGAGCCATGATGCACCCATTTATCTGTGGAATCCACGTGTCAATTTCTGTCTTCACACCACACTGAACCCAGGTAACCAGAAATCAGTGTGTCTGCAGAACTATAAAAGTATTCTTGCCAGAGAAGTAGCAAAAATCTTGAAAGAAAGGCCAAGGCCTAGCTACAAGACTCAAAGGAGAAAGGGACCCCTCTTCAGCTTGGAAGAGAGAGGAAGCTTCACCTGAAGCATAAGAACACAAATCAGGAAATCCTGCTCAGATGGGCTGTGTCAGCATCCCAGGGACAGTCTTTATTTCCTGGCCTGGGTGAGACCGATATATTCCATTTTAACCTGAGATCCCAAGAGTACGGTCGCTGACCTAGCAGCACAGCATCACCTGGGGCCCTGCTAGAAAGGGAGATCCTGGGTCCAAACCTAGACCTACTAAATCAGAAACTCTTGGGGACGGTTCAGTACTCTGTGTTTCTAGGTGATTCTGCTGCACACTCTCTGGCTTAAGAACTAGTGATTCAAGCAAACCCCTGCCTTAGAGTCATATAGAAAATTCACCCGGAAATGGTGAGAAAATGGCTTTCCTTCTGACCAATTCCAAATTCAGTGTCAAACTAAACACAAACAGTAAATTCCAAAAGACACTACTGAGGAATTTTCAGATGTGAAAATGGACTTAACTCTCATTTCCTGTACAGAAACAGCAGGAAGTTTATTATTATTAGCAAAGAAATGTAAAATTCCTATGAAAACACAAAATGCGACATATTTTTATACTCATGGTTCACTTGAGGACTGTATTACTCCAAGAGAACTATCTGGTCATCAATTTTTACAATGGACTCAGAAACTCAAAGATGCATAATTATAATGACCTCCCTAAGATATTCATATATTTAAATGAGGTACATTTAGTATGCAATAATTTCAAATATATATATCCTTTAATGTCAGTTCTTAAAGCTAGTAAGAAAGTGAAATAGGTACATCACACCCCGGGGGTGAGCGGGATATTATAAATTAGAACAACTCATATGGAAAGCAACTTGGCAGTTATGTGTGAAGCCATAAAAACATCCAAATTCTTTGACCAAATAGGTCTACTTTCCTTCAGATTAAGAAGAATTCCCCAAATGAAAAAGCTGTATGAACAAAGATGTCTACATGGAGGAAAGAGGATGTCTGACAACATAGAAATGGTTAAATTAATGAAATATCATGAGACCATCTAAAATAAAAAGACTAACATTTAAAAAACAGAAATGAAAAAGATGATACAGAATTATATTTACACTATGATTACAACTAAGTAAAAAAATATGTACATGGTTGCATAGAGAAGAAGGGGAAAGAAACATGAATACTGGAAGGTAAAGGCAAATTTTTCTTTCTACTCATTTTTCTGTTTGGGGGTATAGTAATAACGAAAATATTAACAGGTATGCAAGCAGCACTGAACACTTTCAAGTTTGAGTTTGGATAAACTGATTTGTGTGTGTGTGTGCATGTGAATATTCATGGAAGAAGGAGGACTAGAGAAAGAGAAGGGGAAATATCAAATTAGTCATTGCCAAGGGACAGTAGCTGATTTAAAATGAGACATGACATACCCTTACCTCCCCCTAAAAATCAAACCACACCATAGAACAGAAGCGCAACCCACAAAATTTTAGGAACAATCTAAACCATGACGTAAGGGGGAGATCAGTAAATCAGAAAGCAACCAAAATAGTCTCTCTTCCTCTACCCTTCACGATATTTTTTCCAAAAATAATGTTAAACACAGGATAGATCAAGAAAACTATTTGTTGAGCTGTATTTTAAACTGACGGCTCTATTCTCCAACTGACTCCTATTAATCACAGCTGATCTTTGAAAGCCATTTGGGTTTAAGCCTGCGACACAGGGAACAAATTTGCAACATGAGTTCTTACAAAGCCCAAAGCCCAAGTTTCTGCCAAGTTTGCCTTTCATCACGCAGGCTTGCCTGGCATGGCTCCAGCACCCATAGCTGGACTGGACTATCCTGGCCTTGGAATATTAACTTCCTCTTCGTCTGGGGCAAGTTCCCCCACACACAGTTTATAATGACACCAGTCCTTCTCTAAAGTGTTTAAAATAAACTAATTAGAATCTGATTTTCAACTCTGAGGCACTCAAGAATTATAAGGGATGGGGATGGGGAAATGAAGTCGCTGTGCAATTTCAGGCAAAGTTCAGAACTTGATAAATCAGCAAAACAATCACTCTGTTGCAAACAATTCTCAAGGCACTTGAATGGCACAAAATGCAAGTCAGTAGCTCTCAACAATTGAGAAACAGTTACCAAGAAAATGTTCATGACTCCTTCCAAAAACAAAAAACAAAAAAAAACTTTAAAAGCACTGTCTGGTTACAATGCATGTATGTTTATGTTTAATTTAAAACATTGTCTTTGATACCCTTAAGAGTGTTAAAAGCAAACACACTCTGCTGCTGTTAGGGAGGAAAAAAAACTACCACAAAGCCTTGCCAATTTAAATTATTGCACACTAAAACTATGTTACATTACCCCAATTTCACTTAGCTCACAGAACCAGAACTTCCACTCTCTGGCTATTATTCTTAAAAATTGTAAGTTACCCCCAAAATTTCAATCCTTACAAGAAACTATGAGTGGAAGGTGGGATGGAGTACATATGTCAGTGACTTCATGCACTATTTAATACTTCAAATCTAGGGTCCCAGGAGGGTAAAATATCTCCTGAAAATGAATATTAATTTAAGTATATAGCATTTTCTTCTGTTTTCCTGGAACAATTTCAGACACATTCTTTTTGCAATAGGACTTCCAGTTGTGAAGGTATGAAGAGGTCAATTTAGTCGATTCGAGAGATTCTGCTATAATAACCACTTTGTGGGTAGATGGGGCATGTGCTATTTGAATGAGGATATGTAGTGCTTTCAGAATACAGTGAACTTAAAGTTCAACAATGTATTTGTGGCTGATTTGAAAGATGGAGGTGAAAGTTCACTGTAGGGAATATGGGTAAAAAATTATCGATAGACATATGCTTCCCTAGCTGCTAAGGCAACACCGTTTCATAAAGCTTATTTATAAGAGGACCAGCACGAGCCTCCTATTCAGGGCTTCCTGAATGTAAACTTCACTTACTTTGCAGGTACAGCCTGCTTCTTACAAACGAGTGAATTCTGAGTGTGCAACCTGAATCTTTTCTCAGTAATCCAAACTTAAGAAGTAAAAATATCTATAATAGCAGAATTCACACTTAGATTTCCTTGAAGCTCTCACGATAAAACTCACTTGGGAAAAGAGCAAAGAAGGAGGAAGGGTGGGGAAAAAAGGCAGAATAAGGACGGAGGAAGGAAAAATAAAATATGGACTGATAAAAACAAACCAAGGAATAAGTAGTCTCTTGCAGAAATACTTTTTCCACCACGGTTTCCCCTCCTGCAGTTAAAACAGACTGCCATCATGCGCCTTCTACCTACCAGCCATAAAGCAAGTATAAATGCCAGCAGCTTCACAAGCATGATTCATGCAACAGTGTGTACTTAAATATTTCCTTTGCCCTTTTAAAGGTAGCAGAACCAAGAGGACTCAGACAAGGGCAATATTATCTGAGATCAGATACCTACCATTGCTCACCATCCGCCGGGCCACTTCCCACAAGACAAGTCCAAAGGCCCAAATATCGACTCTCTTATAAGAATCGAAACAATCCACCTGGATGGTTTCATCTAGAACTTCGGGGGCCATGTAGCGTTTGGTGCCCACACGGGGGTTGTTCCCCACGTCGAGCTGATTGGTGCTCTGGGAATGCATGACTGCCAGGCCTGAAAGGAAGAAGACAACATTGTCAATCTGCTCCCTTCCTTTCTCACAGACGGCTGCTGAAGGATTTTAAACCAAACCCAACGAACAGCGCCCTCTTGTGGCATCCATGGTGACTGCCGCATTACACCCAGAGTCATCTCTGGAGTACCCTTGTGATGACTTCCGTTGAGAGCAGGAAATAGGGCTGATGCCAGAAACATTCTGAGGCTCTCAGGTTAATAGATGAACCTCAGAGACAAAAAGTTTGGGGTAAATAATAAACTAATACACCAAACCAATAGGAGGCCAGTGTTCGAAATGCACAGGAAAACAGACTCACTTGTCAAATGGGAGCCTCCAAGTGGCTTAAATAACAAGGAGCAAATTAAGCTCTCAGGCTCCAGCACAGCTCCCACTAGACTGCAAACACAAACTTCAAACCACGTGAGGCAGGGACTTTGAGGTAATTTATCATTACATAAAGGGCCGACTGCCCCGGGCCCTGCTCCATCCCTGAAAAAGGGCCGCTCATCTGAACAGTAACGTGGACCAAACCCACAGGGATTTCTCTGCAGCCACATGTACAGAGAACATTAAGCTGGCCCTCAATTCAAAGCACAACTATCACGTTAAATGATTTTGAAGCACTATCTTAAACCATGACTCATGTCCGAATTCCTCAGCCAATTAGAGAGACCCAGCATTCCTCACAGACCAAGGGTAATAGACAGATTCGTGCATGGTTTATTTGAGAATGGAATTACTTTTTGATGCATGTGCAGACCAACTGAAAGTGATTCCTGTAACACTCAAAATAATGAAAATTGCCAAACTGGAGCAAGCAGACCATGTACACCTTTGTAACCCAGCGGGGATCCCTCAAGTCATCTATGGAGAATGCTTCTCCTCCCACTCCGTGGCTTTGCGTGGGTGAGATGATGACTCCATATAAAGCAAGGGAGATAGCACGTATGTTATCTCAGCCTCAATACCAAAGATACTGGCAACTGCGTTTGACTAAATCAGACTGGTTCCTCTTCTCATTTTTATAAGCAACCCTAAGATTCTATGGCCATTACGAACATTTCACAAACCATAATGCCCCTCCACCATTTCCAGAACCACAGAGTAAAGATAACAGAATACAAAAAAGGTGAAGTGTAAATAGAGAATAGAAATACTAGCTGTGGTGGTTTAAAAATACATCCACAAGTGTTTTGAAACTTCTCCCTTCACGAGGGGAAACTCAATTCCTCATGCCTTGAGCATGGGCTGGACTACCAAACAGAATATGGCCGAAGAGTGTGTGTATCTTTAAGATTAGGGCATAGAAGGCATATGGCTTCCTGTTTGCTCTCTCTGGGCTCATTCGTAGTGTTATGAGGACACTCAAGCAGCCCAGTGGACAGGACCACATGACAAGGAACTGAGGCTTCCCATCAACAGCCATGTGAGTGAGCCATCCTAGAAGTTCCTCCAGGCCCGACCAAGCCTTCAGATGCCTGCAGCCCTGACTGATGGTATGACTGTTACCCCTGTCAGATCCTGAGCCAGAACCACAGACCTGAGTTGTTCCAAGACTGCTGACCGACTGTGTAAGATAATAAACTTGTGTTATTTTAAGCTGCTAAGTTTTAGAGGTAATTTGTTTCCCAGTAATCCATAATTATTACACTAACTAAAGAGACAAACCAACCAAATGCAACGTGCCTCAATTCTTGTTTGAAAAAACTGGAAAAATTTGAAAATGGCTATTAAATGATATTAAAGCATAATCAATAACTTTTAGGTGTGATAAACTGTGATTATGCAAGAGAAGTATATTTAGGGGATGCACTTTGAAGTATTTAGTAGTAAAGAGTTGTGACTTTGCAACTTTTCTTTTCTTTTTTTTTTTTTTTTGCGGTACGCGGGCCTGTCACTGCTGTGGCCTCTCCCGTTGCGGAGCACAGGCTCCGGACGCGCAGGCCCAGCGGCCATGGCTCACGGGCCCAGCCGCTTCGCGGTATGTGGGATCTTCCCGGACCAGGGCATGAACCCGTGTCCCCTGCATTGGCAGGCGGACCCTCAACCACTATGCCACCAGGGGAGCCCTGCAACTTATTTTCAAATGAATTTGCAAACATATACACTCAGCCACATACAAATAAAGCAAATTTGGCAACATTTTAATAACTGTTGAATCTAGGTGTTGTGGATATGAATGACCATCATACTACTTTTTCAGTCTTTCTTAATGCTTGAATTTTTCTGTGATCAAAAGTGAGGAAAATACAATACTGGTATTTTTGCTAAAATACTGGAAGTTTTACAGTATTAATAATAGAACATAATTTCTAACAAGTGATCCTTAATTTCTAGGTATAAAGTAAAAAATTAATATAAATTGCAGTCTTACAGGAGCTGTCTCCTGTACTACCAATCTACTTCCCTGAATAATGACCCCTTAACACAGATTTCTGTATGAAACCGTGAATACAGCTGGAAAGCTATAGGTCAAAATAAATGTAATTAAATAATTAATTAGTTGGATTTGCTAATTCCCCCCAAGTCCCATAAACCAAAACCAACAGCTGCCTCAATGTGTCTATCTTCCCTTGGCCTCAGGACTAGAACAGCAGCTACCATTTGAATGACTATTTGCCAAGCATTTATAAAATTTCTGAATCTCACAAGAATTGTGTGAGGTGGGCATAATTGACTTTTAGTAACATGAGTAATACATAAACACACTATTATAAAAGTTTCAAACAACAGAGACATTCAAGGCACGGTGTCAAACACTGAAGTCCCCCTTGCTAAGCCCCCCACCCTTGCCCTGAGTGTAAGCAGGTCAGCACTTAGGGCAGGTAAATAGATGAAAAAACCTGTACAAAAATACTGGATCAGGGACTTCTCTGGTGGCGCAGTGGTTAAGAATCTGCCTGCCAATGCAGGGGACGTGGGTTCGAGCCCTGGTCTGGGAAGATCCCACATGCCGTGGAGCAACTAAGCCCATGCGCCACAACTACTGAGCCTGCGCTCTGGAGCCCGCGAGCCACAACTACTGAGCCCGCACGCCTAAAGCCCGTGCTCTGCAACAAGAGAAGCCACCACAATGAGAAGCCCGCGCACCGCAACGAAGAGTAGCCCCCGCTTGCCGCAACTAGAGAAAGCCCGCGTGCAGCAACGAAGACCCAATGCAGCCAAACATAAATTTATTAATTAAAAAAATACTGGGTCGGGCTTCCCTGGTGGCACAGTGGTTGAGAGTCCGCCTGCCGATGCAGGGGACGTGGGTTCGTGCCCCGGTCCGGGAAGATCCCACATGCTGCGGAGCGGCTGGGCCGGTGAGCCATGGCCGCTGGGCCTGCGCGTCCGGAGCCTGTGCTCCGCAACGGGAGAGGCCACGACAGTGAGAGGCCCGCATACCG